AGATGTAGGGTCCAGGAGCACAGTCGGGGAGTGGCGAGGAGGGTAGATGTAGGGTCCAGGAGCACAGTCGGGGAGTGGCGAGGAGAGCAAGGACAGGTGCAGGAGGCGGCAGGGAAGCCCAGCTGGGCACTCGGAAAGGAGGAGTGGGAGTCCTGGCCTGGATTGTGGAAGGAGACAGCTGGCCTCGTCCTCTGTGCTTCCCAGGCTTTCCCTCTTAACCTGCTGTTCGGTGATTCGGACAATCCAACATGTTCTCTTCTAAAGATCCAATTTAAAACATCTCTGAAGTCTCGATTTTTTTCCTAATACTAAAATCTAACAAGTTAATGTGATTTCCCTCTTTTCATTCCTTTGTCCTTTAGTTGATGGCAGCTCATGTCAGTAGGGACAGAGTTATAAAGAACTGTATAGCCCAGACCTCAGCAGTAGTAAAACATCTCCGAGAAGAGAGAGAAAAGAACCTGGATGACTTAACGTTATTAAAGCAACTTAGAAAAGAACAGACAAAGGTAAGTTGAGCAGACTTTTTGTGTTGAAGGCAAAGATTTCCCAAACATAGTCTTCAAAATAGAGTTTTAATATGCAAAATTTCAGGTAAGTTATGGTTATTACTTTTAAAAATGACCAGGACAGGGTTGGGAGAATGGATCAGTGGATAAATTATTTGTTTTGCAAATATGAGAACCGGGGTTTGGATCTTGACAACCTCTGTAAAAAATTGGGTGATAAGGGCTTGGAGAGATGGCTTAGTGCTTAAGAACACTGGCTTCTCTTCCAGAGGACCCAAGTTCGATTCCGAGCACTCACATAAGCTCACAACTGTCTATAATTTCGGTTCTAGAAGATCTGATCTCCCTTGCTGGTGTCTGCGGGCACCAGGCATGTACATGGTATACAAATATGCAGACAGAATACCCAAATAAATTAAACCACCACAAAAGAACCTGGGTGGCGTATCAGCCACCTGTAATCACAGCCCTCCAGAGGTGGGCAGGAGGCTTCTGGGCAAGTTGGCTAGCTAGACAAGCCAGAATTGGCTAGAACCAGGTTCATCCAGAGACCCTGCCTCAGTGTTGTCTAGAAAGGACATATGTCATAAACTTCAGTCCTCCACTCCAATGTGCACACTTGTGTTCACACACACACACACACACACACACACACACACACACATGAATGCACACATGTATAGGAGAGATGGCCAGCAGAGTAATGGCTTGTTATCAGGAGGGCTTTATACCACACTTAGATGCAATACAGCAGCGAGAGGGAAATTAACATGGAATTGTATTTTATTTCTATTCCTGTGACGTTTTCCAGTGTTAAAGACAAAACATCATTGCTGACCAACCCCATATCAGAAGCTCTGTGAAAAACATCTGTGCCTGCTTACTTGAAACATTTCTTCATGAATTTGAATTTGAAAATATTTACCTCTTTCATTCTGTAAGAGTCTGCTGAAATAGAATACAGATTCCTTAAGTTCTAGCTATTGCCCTCTTGAGCCATAAAAACAGTGCTAGTTGAATGTAGTCAACACCTCAGTGTGATGTCCACCCCGCTCTGTAGACAGCAAGGGTTTTGGCCCTCTCTAGATTACCTTTCTACACTTAACAGCATCCCTGCAGTGGTTTTACTTCAGAGCATATTTTGGTCCAGCTAAGTGGCAGATAAGGATGCCTGCTGCCAAACCTGAAGACCTGAGTTTGATCTCTGGAACCCACATGGTGGAAGATGAGAACTAATTCCCATAAATTGTCCTCTGACCGCCAGACCTGCTCACTGTGGACAGACAGACAGACACACAAACACACCCCACACAGTAAATGAATGAATGGATGAATGAATAAATAATAAACAAGTGTGATTTTAAAAGTCAAGTGCTCACTCAGGGATATGTGAAAGGAAGCTTGCCCCCCATGTAGTACAGGTAATGAGGCAGAATCATTGCTCTGTAGCCCTCGTTTGTGGCTTATCAAGGAAACAGTTGTGCTTTGGTGTTCTGGGAGTCAGTTCCAGGACCCACCCTCTGCCCACCAGGGAGACCAAAGTCCACAGCTTCGCGAGTCCCACGTGGAAAGTGGCTTAGTGTTTGCATTAACTTCCTCCCTTAGCCTCCCTTGTGTTTTACGTCATTCACCGATTGCTGACAGCAGCTAATATAGAGTATTCAGGTTTGCTACATGTGTGATTCTCCCCCAAAATATTTTTGACCCCCAGTTACTTGAATTCATAGATTATACAGAGAGCTGACTATAGTGTATTACATGGAATACATTGCCATCCTTTTTTAAAGGGAGTTTTAGGTATCACTGTAATTTCATGTAATTCCAAACTTGAGAGAAAGGTGCAAAGCAATGTGAAGAGCTCCCATGCAGAATGTTCGCCTCGTCCCCTTGCTGGTGACAGCTTTACAGTCTTCACCTTCCCTCCCGCTCACCTGTGTGCACATGCGTACTCTCCTCTGGAGGATTCCGGGCACTTGTTAGATATGCTGGGTTTTGTTTTCAGTTATTACTTGTGTGTGTGCACCCTCAGAGGACCACTTGGAGAGGTGGCTCTTTCCTTCCAGCACTTGAGTGCCTGGGATTGAACTCAGGTCATCAGACTTGGCAGCAAGCACCTCTGCCCATTTGGCCATCTCACTGGCCCCATTGGCTGTTTCTCAATAACAGGGACTTCTCTTCCATGACCACCGCACAATTGTCAATACAGTTGTCTACTTAAGAGAGCACAGTGGGCCGCTTATCGTTCTCGTGGGTCAGGTGACTGAAAAGGCGATGTGGAACTTGCTTTTTTAAGTAGTTGTAGAACTTGGTTGGCGTTTGTTTAGCAGATTTAAGCAGCTGCACGGGGGCACACAGTGAGTGGGCCAGGCCGCTGTGCTTTCTCAGTTATTCTGCTAATTCAGTGTTTCCCTGGAGACAGCCTCCACCTGTGTTTGTGTCTCTCTTGGTCCATGAATACGGCTCAGGTCTCTGTTCCATACTTGCTTTTTCATCGGGCAGTGATTGGTATCTCCAGATGGTGAACTTGTTAAAATAGCTCTTGTCTCATCCCTTGATAGTCAAGATTATTTGTATATTATTTTACAAAGTTGATCAGGGCCTAAGCTGCTTTGAGATTTCTATTTCTTGAGAGCATGACTGCAAACCTGTCCTCCACTATCAGAAAAGGTCATCCTTTCCAACTAATTCATCAGCTTAACTAGTGAAGGAGGAAAGGGACACAGGCTGAGCCATCCAGATAGCCCAGTGGGTCCTGCCTGGCCAGGGGTGGTGTGAACATGCAGCAGCCATATCACCCTGACATCCTGGATTTTGTTAAAGATGTTGACAGGGCATGTGGGGCAGGACTGCTAATTCATATAAGTCAGAGTAGAGCTCCCCTTGCTAGTGAAGTACAAAGTTCAGCTAAGCCCTAGTATTCAGGAGTGACTGTGTCTGTTTGCTCAGCTCTCACATCTGCCCCTTTGCCCTCAGTGCCTGGAAGGCGTGGCCACAAGGACTGCAGGGAGGGGGCTTGGAAGCGATGGGGAATAAATGTAAGGTCTGCTTCCCAGGCAGTAGGGCACCCGTGAGTAGTGCTGCGGCGGGTGGGGGATGCGGCTGTGTATCTTCCTGTGTGGTTATGGGCTCTGCAAGAGAGGCCTTCAGATGTGCCGGCTCTGAATCTCTCACTCGCTGAGCATGAGAGACACCAACTGGCATCTCTAGTCACAAGCCAGTGAGTGGTTAGGATTTAATAACCTTTAATTATCGAACATACCATCTTTAAGACTCATCCTCCACAAACTTTGTACAACCTACTCAAGCCTTTTATATGTTAGGGTTCCTGTTTTTATATTTTCCATCTAGGAAAATTCCAATTTTCTTTTACTATATAAAATCCTTTTTATCTAAAACAATCTCATCCTCATTCCATCCCCCTTTTCAAATATGAGCTAGTTTATTCTGGAGCTAAATATGAGTGCCCATACCCTGGGAAACTTGGAGCTAGATCATCCCAGGTTTCATGTTCCAACATGAAAGCAATTTCATGCAGGGTTTTTTTTGGGGGGGGGGGGGGGGGGGTTGAGACAGTGTCTCAGTGTAGTTTTGGTGCCTGTCCTGGATCACGCTCTATAGCCCAGGCTGGCCTCAAACTCACAGATCCTTCTGGCTCTGCCTCCGGAATGATGGGATTAAAGGTGTTCGCTACCACCTCCTAGTTCATGGAGTTTTTATAGTAATAGAACCAAAAAAAGTTTTTTCTTTGTAACTTTTCTTAACCAGAAGTTCCCTCAGATTTACCACCTCCTTAACATTTTTCTGACCTACTTATTGTTTCTTCTTTAAATAAGAGCTGCATCCAAATCATATATGTGGCACAGTGTGGCAAATTAAGATTATTTGTACCTTATTGGTATCAAATTTCCGTTTTTTTGTTTTGTTTTGTTTTGTTTTTTCCCCCTTTTTCTTTCTGTTGCTCGTCTTAGGCAAACTTCTTAACTTCTTGGACTTTGTAGTACCCCTCCAGAGGTGGGAGTCCTATGGAACTTGGGAAATAGAATTTTTCCATCCCCACAAGCACCTGCAGATGTCTGTACCTTCAGCAGTCAGCACTCTTTGTAGACAAGAGAGGGCAGGACAGAGCCGGCCGGGAAGCTTGCTCACATGCTAGCCTTGTCACCGCAGTGGTGGGTGCGGAAGATGTTTCTTGTCCTTGATGTGGCAGTGGACAATGGGAGGCCAGGTTTCCGAGTGCATCCTCGCGTCTCCATCATCCCGTATGTGACACCGTCAGATTGGGAGCTCCCGGTATCCAGCAGGAATCAGTCGGGGAAGCTCCCTTGAGGCAGTCAGCTCGAGTTCCCATTAGGAGTCCCAGGCAGAGCAGAGTGTCCCCCGTGACATAAGAGATTGTAACAGGTGGAGATAATGTGGAGATAACCTCACCAGCTGGGCCCTCACAGCCCAGCAGGAGCTAGCTCCCTGAGGAAGTGGAGGCAGTCTCTGCTGGAGTTCCCAGGGAGCTTTCTCTCCACGGCTGAGCTCACCACTCTCCACTGCAGGCCCTTTTCTGTCCTGAGATAAGCAGTGGGTCCTTTAGAAATGGTTTCCTTTCGGGTGTTTTCAGGGAAACTTTTCACTCTTGGGCTGCTTTGCTGTTCTTCTCCTCCCTGTCAGAGTTGGGCAGGCCAGCCCATTCCTAGACACGGGGCCTTGGAGGATGGATAGCTTGAGATAGACATGCTGGGGTCTGAATTGTGGAGGGGCAGTGCTTCCAGGACCAGTGTCTCAGAGAGCTCAAACAAAAGGGACAGTTTACTAATATAATGTTTATTACACGTGCTCTTCTAAATGTTATTTTATCTTCATATTGGATGTGATGGATGTCATGGATGTGGGTATGGTCGCTTATGCTGGTGTGTGTGAGGCCAGAGGTTGATGTATTCCTCAATCGCTTGTCCACCTTATTTTTTAAGGCAGAGTCTCTTACTGAACCGGGAGCTTGTAGTTTTAGCTAGATTGGCTGGCCAGCAGTTCCCCGGGATCTGCCTGTCTCCACCCCACTCCCATTCCCCAGCACTGGGGTTATAGTTTTAACTCTTTACAGTTCAAAATTTCTGTTTTTTTCCTTTCTTACAGTTGAAATGGATGCAGTCAGAACTAAATGTCGAAGAAGTGGTAAATGACAGGAGCTGGAAGGTAGGAAATAATGTTGGTTCTGTAGAGAAACTGAACCAGCAAGGGACAACTGGAGAGGGGCAGGAAGTGTAGGACAGAGGACCCGGAACACTGAGGGTGATGAGTGCTGTTAACTTCTGTGTGGAAGCACTACAGCTTACAGGCAGGCAGGATTCTGTGACCTACTACAGAGCGGATTGCATACGTCCTGTGGGTCTCCTGACACTAATTATGGCATATACATATAGTCAGAGTTTTTAATTGTAGTTAGCTGAGAACTTTCAAAGAAGTTATTTGTTACAATTAGCCTTTTGTGCAGTCACTTTCCCAAAACCAGAGTTGCTGGCATTATTCTGTAATTGTGTCAGTTAATATTCATTGAGTCTCATAAATGTAATCACACAGGGAACATTAGTAGAGAGGAAACACTCAGGTAAAAAAGTTCCAGAGAAGGAAAGAACAGGTGAAATGAGCTCCACCACACTCTAGCTGGATCTCTCTGACCTTAGAGACCAGCTGCTGGCCACTAACTTCTGACATTTAGTAACTGTTTATCTCTTCAGTTTTGTTGTAGAAATAGTTTTGTTTCAAAATTTTCACACACACAAAAATTAATCATTAAGCAGAGGTGATGTTTTGGCATCTTGGTATATAACCATCCAGCTTTTTTGTAATGCATGTTCAGACTTGTTAACTGTTTTTAAAAGTCATAAATGAAATCATCATCTACCTACTTGTAGCCAATGTATTTCCTGTGTCATTACATAATTACATCCACCTTTAAGAAAAATACAGCATGTGAAGGCATGAATAAATTATGGACTATAAATTGGCTGCTTTATGGCATTTCTTTATCCTGTCTTCCTTGCCAAAATGTAGCCTATACTTGTCCTTGCACCAGCATAGGGCTATGCTGCTTGGAAGATTTTTGGCAATGTTTATCTATGCATACCTTCTCTGAAAAAGTCATGTTATTCTGGGACTATGATGGGAGAGGGGTCTGGTGAATATCTGGCTTTAAAGAGCCAGTCCAGAGGATTTCAGCGCGTGGAAAGTGTGGTAGATGGTAGAGGGAGTGAACAATTTTGTATTTGATATCCCAAGTGTTCCTCAATATGATGGGATTACATTCCCAGTAAACCTAAGTGTTCCCAAGACACTCAACAGTGGACTACACTTAAGTATCAAGAGAGAATATTCTTCTGTGTTTCATTAGCCCACAAAAACAAAAACAAAAACAAAAACAAAAAAAAAATCAAAATTTAGCCAAAATACCCATGCTTATAAAAAATTAGACATTGTTAATGTATATAATGGAATTTTTTGTCTGAATCTGTCAAATGTTAATGGACTAGACATTGTTAATGTAATTCTTGACTGTATGATGGCCTGTAACTTCAGCACTTGGGAGACTGAAGCAGGATTGTGAGTTTGAGGCCAGCTCGAGATACATAGTAAGTTCAAGACCAATATTAACTACAAAGCAAGACCTTGCTTCAAAAACCAAATTCAAAACAAACACAGTTATTAAAGGGTGTTTAATAAAGATATTACAGTGGCCAGGTGGTGGCTCACATGTTTAATCCCAGCACTTGAACTCTGAGTTCAAGGCCAGCCTAGTCTGCAGAGCGAGTTTGAGGACAGCCAGGGTTACACAGAGAAACCTTGTCTTGAAAAAAAAACAAAACACAAGCAAATAAAGACAAAATGGTGTCCAGTGAACACCTGCCTCGTGCTCTGAGGTCTTCCACATGGAGGGGGACATACTTACAGATGCTTATGTCTTCTCTTATATTGAGTGTGTCTCCTTTGTTGACAACAGAAGTATTCTGTATGTGTTTTTCTTAACACACATCAGAAATCTTTCCATGTATGAATGTTAATAACTTACGATTTTTAAACCTTTTACTCCCATGAGTGGCTCTACCAAGATTTTTATGTAGCATAGCCCCATTTAGTCATGGGCATTCTCTTAACACTACATTGTTTCAGATTTTAGGAAGCAAGGTGAACAAAACAAGAAATACATAAATTCACATAATTTAGCAGAAGACAGGTCCAGCCAGCAAATGGCCGTTGAAATTGTCTAGTCATCGTGCTTAATTTGGTGTGCTAAAGAAACTTACTGTTTCCTGAGCCTATTGACCTAGATGAGATGGTAACATCCTCCTAACCTATGATCTGGATTTACATCCTGGTTTATACAGGATGACTGGATGACTTCTCTTTCTGTTTGAACATCGTAGGTGTTTAATGAACGCTGCCGAATTCACTTCAAGCCTCCAAAGAATGAGTAGAGAGAGTTGTTTTTTTTTTTTCTAAAGACCTGGTCATCTCATCAACTAAGCATGACAGATGTCAGCAGGGCAGGCTCCCGAGGATGGTCTTCGAGCCAGAAGGCCAAGGCCTTTGGTTGACTTCAGCCCCTTTTAGCCAGGACCTCAAATCTAATTCTCATAATTATAAAATAATCAATTGCTATTTTATACTGATTCTGTAAAAATGTTTTGTAACTATTAAAATAATTTTCTGACTCCGTGTATATACTTATTTGGTGGCTTTGCAAGTTGAGAGAGCAGGTTCTCCAGGTCATTGTGCCTGCTTGAGTTTCACAAATGGATTGGAATGGATGTGGACCTCTTTAAAGGGGCAGAATCAGGTGGAGAGGGGGTTAGTGGTTAAGAGCACTGGCTGTTCTCGCAGAGGACAGGTTTGATCCCAGCACCCACACAGTACTCACAACTGTGTATAGCTCTGGTCCCAGGGGATCTGACGCCCTCTTCTGACCTCTTCTGATTAGCAGCAGGCACACATGTGATGCAGTCATACATGCAGCCAAAATACCCATGCTTATAAAAAATAAAATGAATCAGGCTGGATCCTATATATACAAACAAATTCTGATTTTTCTTTTTAAAAAGGGGCATTGTGACAGGTGCCTGTAATCCAATCCCCTGGGAGGCTGAGATGGCCAGCCTGTGCTGTAGAGTGAGAACCGGTCTCACAAAACAAAAACATTTGAGTCAGGCTGTGGTACTGCACTCCTTTAATCCCAGCACTCGGGAGGCAGAGGCAGGTGGATTTCTGTGAGTTTGAGGCCAGCTTGTTCTACAGAGTGAGTTCTAGGACAGCCAGACGATACAGAGAAACCTTGTCTCAAAGTACAAAACAAGAGCATTTATCTAGTTTTTACATATAAAACTGCTTTGGGCTAGAATTGTTTTCTTGATAGTTTCTCATGGATACAAAAGAGAAGCATCCATGGGAAGGGGTAGATGACTAACAAGAGCCCTGTTGTTGGGTAGAGGGCTCCACCAGTGAAGGAAAGTACATGGTAGGGTGGGGTATTAGCTTAGAGGCCACAGAACAGACCGTCACAGCTTCACTGCTTAATGTCATACTAGTAATATTTGCTGTGTCACAGTCCTAGGCTTCCAAAGTCCACACAGGTTGGACTGGACAGGGTTCTTTGCTCAGGGTGTGGGAGCTGAAATCCAGCTTGGAGTGAGACTGGCGTTTGTCTGAGTCCCCAGGGAACACTGCTTCTGAATTCCTTGAGCTTGGTGGCAGGGTGTAGAGTGAGTGAGTTGTAGAAGCCAAGTCCCTGTGTACCTGCTGGCTGTGTGGTACCATTCCGCCAGAGGCCACCCGCATTTCTCAACACAGGGCAGTCTCTCTGACTTCCTTTTCTGCCGTGAGCCAGACAAGCTGCCTTCAAAGGGTTTGTAATCAGCTCGCCCACAGTGCTGCTTTTCTTGAACTCAGTTGGTTAATCCGCACATGACTTTTGTCACGTAATGTAGCTGTCACAGATGTGATTAGCAGGACATAAGTGGTGCCAGTTTGGATTCTGTTTACAGTCGCCATCTAAACTCAAGCCACATGGCTCGGGCTTGTCTGGCTTCTGGTAGGCCTGAGCCTGCAGCGTCTCGACCTTCATCAGATTATGTTCCTGGAAGTTAGCCCTGGCAGCGTACGCAGTCCTGTTTTGTTGATAGAACACTTACTGTGGGTGTTTGTTGGGGATACTGAGATATTCCTTTAGGACTGGGAGTGTCACTCAGGAGAATGCTTCCCTAATAGTAGGAGGCCGGCTTTGATCCCCAGCATGACAGGGAGAGGGAGGGAGTGAAAAGGGGAGGAGGAGGGGCAGGGAGAGAGAAAGAGACCATGTAGTGATGCACACCTTTAATCCCAGCACTCAGGAGGCAGAGGCAGGCAGGTCTGTGAGTTCAAGGTAAGCCTGGTCTACTTAGTTCCAGAGCTACATAGACCCTGTGTGGGGGTGGGGTGGGGGGAGTTGGTTACAATTAACATAGTTTTTTCAATGAAAAAAAAATTATCTTAAAAGATAATATTGAAAAATCTTTTCTATAAAGCTGATCTGTAATAATTTTTAAATGGGGGAAGATAAAAGGCTGGGTGTAAATGAAAATACAGCAAGGATCTTGATGATATTCCTCGGGGAAATTCAGTTTCTCGGCCCAGGTCATAATGATCTTTCCAGACTTCAGATCTGTCACCAGAGTGCTTCCTGCCTAATCTAATTATGTTAGGGTGCCTGGATTAATCAAGTGTGACACCAACCAAGCATTTACCTCAGTTTGGAGTGAAAGAGTAAATGAATATACTGAGCCTGTGTCCATAGCATTTAAAGCCTCAGGTTGAAGATAAAATTCCTTTACCGCCTTGGAAAGTAGATTTTGCTCGCTGACACTCTTGTGTGTGGTCACTGCCTCACAACAGTTTGATTTGCTTCTTTCACTTGGGAGAACTGAGGAACAACATGCCAACATTCAGAGGTGGGTTTGTCTTTTACTTGGCTGAAGACAGGCAAGTGAAGCCGCACCTGTGATGAACCTTGCAAATTCTTCCAACACTTTAATGTCTTAGAAATTCTAGGCACTACTAGCCAGTATTGTGACAAAGCAAAATTCTTGCTCTTGAAAAGCTTCCATTTGTTGAGGGGAGATAGATGATACTAAGGAATTGAGTTACAGATAATGGCAAAATGCATTCCAGTTCTATGCAAGAGATAAAGAGCAGGAAGTCAGGGAGAGTGACGTGTGGATTGCAAATGATCGTGCTGGTGGGAGAGAACATAACGTCCTCGCCTTTGAAAAGCTAACTTAATTTATATTGAAACTCGGAGTACTGTAAGGATGGACATCCTGTTATTCCCTAATATAAGTTGTGCTTCAAAGCTGTTTGTTTGGGAATGGAAATTTGTTTGTGCTGGTGTTGTTACAGTAGTCTGCTAATGTCTCATAAATAGGAATAATGTGTAAACAGAAGATTCATCCAAAGTGCTCCCATTTTAAATTATAAAGACATCATACCTAAGGTTAGGGGATCTAATCAAACATTAGAATCATATAGCTTACTTGTGATCTCTGTATAGATATTTACTTAGCCTTGCAGAATACTCTAAATTCCACTGACCTTTCAAAAGAATTCGTCCCAAGCACAGACATTGAAAAAGTAAGGAAAATGGAAAATGGTCATTTCTAGCAAGATTAGCTTTTATCTCTGTGGGGGAAAAGGGAAGAAGAAGGAGAAACTGGATAAAAATGGTGACTTAGAAAATAAATACTTTGTGTAAAGATGTGACATGTTATGAATGGGCTTCTATCCTCTTGGGAGTTTAATGAATTGGGTGTATGTGTGTGAGATAGGGTCACTATTAATGCCGTCCTGCTGACCTGTAACTCACTCACTATGCAGACTAAGCTGACCTTGCACTCATAAAGGTTGGCTGACCTTTGCATCCTGAGTTCTGGGATTAAAGGTGTACACCACCATGCCTGGCCATGCTCCTATGAGTCAGGGTCTTACTAGCCCAGGCTGGCCTCAGGTTTGCAGTAATCCTCTTCCTCAGCCCCCTGAGTACTGCGGTTACAAGTGTGCATTACCATGTGCAGCCCATGCTTGCTTTTCAGGAATAAGTACTATGGTGCCCCAAAGACAACATGTAAGGTTTTGTTTTCTGCGTGTAAGTCTTCATTGTCTGGATGTGTGGAGACTGGAGGTTGACATCTAGGGTCTTCTTTACTCTCTCTCTCCACCTTAGTGTTTTGAGACAGGGCCCTCACTGAACCTGGAGCTTATTGATTCAGCTAGGCCGGCTGCCAGCAAGCCCCAGGGTCCTGCCTTAACACCCCCAGTTGGGGATCAAACAGTCTTTCTTCTTGTACGGAAGTACTTCAGAGGAACCATCTTTCTAGATCCAGAGGCTTTAGTTACTAAGGCTTTAGGATTTATCATTTTTACATTCCCTGGTTTATTGGTCTTACCATGTTACCTGTTTTTTATCAGCTCAGTGTTATAGCAGTTTATAGTTTTGTACTTCTAGGTAGAAATAAAGTTTGTTAGAATCTAAAAACCCCTCTAACTTTTCCTTCAGCATGTTGTTAGAATTTTCAAGTAGTTGGGGTGTGGGGTTAAGCACCCGCTCCCAGATGAGTGGCCGGCTGAGGCCAGGCCTGGGTGACTATCTCATGATTCAGTGGAGAGATCGGAATAGCTAGTCCACTGGCACTTCGAAAGAATTGCTACCGAATGAGTTCTTTCCGCTCCAGTGTTACACTCCAGCAAGCGAAAGCTGTCTCATGTAAAGCCCCTCAATGACTTCAAGATAACTACAAATCCCTTAAGGTGGTCTCACTGCTCTGCCCCCCTCCCAGGTCCTCACCCCCATCACTCCTCTGCAGTGCTCCGGTTCCTACCAGTACTGGCTACCTTCTGCTCCTAGCCAAGATCCAGTGTCACCTTCAGATGTCTGCGCTTGCTCTCTCTCCCCTGACATCTCCTGTCTGTGGCTCGTGTCCAAGCTGTCCCTCCCATCTGCCACTTGGACCTCTCAGGTTAGGTGTCCCTTTTGTGTGTTCCCACAATAGCACATGCATGGGGTCTTTGCTGTGCTCTTAACTTGCTGCTTTTCTTCTTCAGTTTGTGAGGCCCATGCGCTTTCCTGCTTCTCAGAACGTGTGGGATACTGCTAGTCCCACACTTCGTTTTCCTCTTTATTGGTAGAACCCTGGCTCTGGCTACTGGGTGCCTGTAAGATGAATTGCTAAACGGTCTTATTAATACAAAATGTGGAGCCAGATATTGGGGTGAAAACTGAGAGATCAGAGGAATAGGACAAGCCACAGCCAACCTCACCTTATGGACTCCTCAGCTTCCAAAGAGACTTACTTCCTATATACCCACACCTATATGCCTTTCTGTTCCGCATCTCACTTCCTCTCCGCCCAGCTACATCACTTCCTGTCTGTCTGTACAGCCCTCCAGACCTCTATCGTTAGTGCTGGGATTGAAGAAAACAGTTATTTGAAGAACACTTCTTTATTGATGGCCGCATCTCTTTACAGTGAGAGGAATCAGGTCACTTTAGTGTTCGCTGCTTAGAAGTAGGTCAGTTCGTCATCCTTGGTTTTGTTAGTCTGGTAACCACTAAGTTCCAAACCCTCATTTTGTCCAGAAAGACCTTGAAAGACTTTCAAGTGCGTGTAACGACCATCGCCTACGTCCACCTGAAAGAGGGAGGGGAGAAAGAGGGAGAGAAGGAAGGAGGGAGGGAGAGAGAGAGAGGAAAGAGAGAGAGAAGGAGATTATTTAATTATTCACATGGATCTACATTGACATGACAGATCTGCTGTCTTAGAAGCCGTCCTGAAATGACACTTCTGGCCCAAAGCAGCATCTGTGAACTAAGCTCCCATCAACCCCATCAACCCGTATGTTTCTAGGAAGAGGAGTTAACAGTATGGCAGGAAGTATATTTTCAAGATTTATTTTTAATACTTTTTAGAAAAATATTTTTTTGTATGAACAATTTGCCTGCTTTGTATTTAAGTGTACCATGTGCATGTAATGCCTGAAGAGACCAGAACATAGTGTCATCTTCCCTCACACTGGAGTTAGAGATGGTTGTGAGCTTTCATGTGGGTGCTGGAATCCAAACCCGGGTCCTCTGCCAGAGCAACCAACGCTCTTGCCATCCGTCTCCATCTGGGTTTTAATTGATTGCACTTTTCATTAGACTCCGGGCACAATTACATCAGAGTTACTTTGTATTTTCACGATGTCCAAAAGAGACGCGGAGGGCAGCCTGTATTTTTGGTGATTTTGTTTTCTGACTTCCAGGTTGGGAGAGAAATTGCCATATAGTTCAATAAGGGAGACAAATATTCAGAATTGCTTTAGAAAAGTGGACTGTACGGTTCCTGTACCTATGCTGTATTAGAACCCACTTTATGAATGCCCACCAGGCATTTGAGAACTGAGCAGGGGTGGGTGGCCTGCCGGCTCTCTTTGTAAAGTAAAATTAAGAAGCTTAGATGCCATTGGGGTAAGGATCTGGATGGTAGTTTGGCCACGAACCCAGGACCTAGAACATAGAGAGAAGAACTGCAACTTTGTTCTTTATTGGAACAATAAAAACTTTGTGTTACATGTACAGATTGTGCTCTGATATCCCTTCCTGCCCTAATCTTCCAATGCTATTTGTCAAAGTTTACCATTATATATGACACTATGATGAGCGTCATACAAAACGTGTGTGTGTGTGTGTGTGTGTGTGTGTGTGTGTCTGTGTGTGTATGTGTGTGTGTATGTGTGTATGTGTGGTCACCCTGACCTCTTACTGGAGGTCTGAAAAAAGCTGTGACAGTATCAGTTTTAAAGATGCCAGCAACAGATTAAAGAGACCAGTTTTCTGGAGCTGAGGATGCAGCTCGGTCAGTGCAGTGTTGGTCTGGCTGGCACCTAGCCCTGGGTTCGGTCAACCATCACCTCCTAAGGCAGGTGGTGTGTGCCGACTGTAATCCCAGAACTCAGGAGCTGGAGGCTAGAGGAGCAGAGATTCGAGGTCATTTTCTACTATATGTGGAGTTCGAGTTCCGACAGCCGGAGATACATGAGACCCTGTGTCAAAACAACCAAACCAAACCAAACAAGACGACAACAGAAAACAATGAGATGTAGTCACGGCTTCCCACAAAGCTCTCAGTGAAAAAATGGCACAGCCCATTTAAACCTACATCTGTCAGATTCCAACGTCCACATACATCATTTTGATTCTCTCTCTCATTGGTTTTTCGAGACAGGGTTTCTCTGTGTAGTATAGTTTTGGTACCTGTCCTGGATCTCGCTCTGTAGCCGCCCCCCCCCCCCCCCGTCTTGTTGGTTGGATTTGTTTTGAGGAAGGATCTCTCTATGTAGCCCAGGCTAGCCTCCAACTCCGAATCCTTCTGCCTTGTCTCCTGAGTACTGGGTTAAGGGTGTATCCCATGCTCAGTGTTCGTAGTCTTCTCAATCTACAGTGTAACTTCCCCACCCCCAGACAGTGTAACTTTTTTTTTTTTTTTTTTAAGCGTTTGTTTCCTACTTGGAAACAGGGCATCAACCTTTGCAAACACTGTTGACATTACCAGAGTCAGTGCTCCGGGTGGACAGCTTGACTCTGTGCTAACAGTAGTGTGAACTTCTAGAGTCATTTACCTTTCCAGGGATCAATTTTCTGACTGGTAACACAGTAGAAGTGGCGTGTTTTTGTTTCCTGGCTTTTTCATGAGGATTAGGTGAAGAGGAATATGGCCTGCTTACAGAATAGTACCCCGCACATTCTAAATCCACCGTGGGTTATTGTTCCCACTGGTCAGGGTCGGTGGGGACCAGACTCAGGGCAAGAGATCTTGGGATCTCATAGATTTTGAACAAACAAACCCAGGACAACCTAACATCAAAGGCTGTGTGTGATCCTTCATTCTGCCACTCTCTCAGCAGGGACTCAAGACAGACAGAAAAGCCTACCAGTAACAACTGAAATCTAGAGAGGCTGAGAGGACTCAGCAGTGAGCCTGCTGGAAGGAAGGAGGGAAAGAGGCCCGGGAGAAGGGCGGAGAGGGGGAGAAGGGGAGGAAGTGGGGAAGAGGGGGAATGAGGGGGAGAGGGGAGAAGGGCAGAGAGGAGACAGGGGGAGGGAGGGGGAGGGGGAAAGGGAAGTGGAGGAGGGGAAGAGACAGTGTTCACACTGCAGTAGGTGGTCAAGGGAAGAAATTTTCAAGATCATTTTCTGATGAGCTTTTTAAAGAAATATGTGAGGGAATTAATATGAAACGTATTTATTTGGATAATCAAAAGTTTTTAAGATAATCTCAGTTTTGGTAGAAACCTTCCTCTTTGAACAAAATCATTTTTCCTGAGAGCTTTCTTTCTCAGCTGTGAAGAAAGATCATGGAAGGAAGCAATTCCTGCTGAGGGTACATCTGGGGCTCCTTCCCATGTTTCGTCAGGTCCGGAACACACCAGGAACTCGAATTTGATTGAACCGGACTTGTCTGTCCCTCATACAGAACCCAGGAGCTCACTTTGAAAGGAGCTCATGTTGAGATGGCTAGCTCTGTTCATGTCAAGTTTGGTTTTTTTTTTTAACTAAATATATTTAAAAAATATAGCTTAAGTAGTTTTGTTTTTTGTTTTTTGTTTTTTTTTTTTGTTTTTTTTTACAAGACAGGGTTTCTCTGTGTAGCTTTTTGCCTTTCCTGGAACTCACTCTGTAGACCAGGCTGGCCTCGAACTCACAGAGATCCGCCTGCCTCTGCCTCCCGAGTGCTGGGATTAAAGGCATGCACCACCACCGCCCGGCGTTAATTATTTTTTTAAAGAAACAAATGACACTGTGCCTTGTCAACTGGCAAAGCAGAGGAGGTAGATGCAATTGAATATCTGTTACCTTTGAAATCAAGGTTGTCATCGTTTAACACATAGAGATAAACACAATGCAGCTCCTACTTATCATCCACAGTCGAGGTTTTTAATTGGTTCCTTTGATACCCCAAGAATGTCAAAGTATTTTTTCTCCCATTAGAACTCAATCAGGACACCATTTAATTTGATTTTTTGATATGACTGGCTATAAGATTTGTTTTAAAATTTTAAAAAATTATGTGTATGCATGTGCGTCTGTGTATGGCTAGGTGCACATAGGAATAGGTGTCCTTGGAGACCAGAGCTGTCAGAAACCTGGAGTTTCAGGTGGTTGTGAACCGCTTGATGTGGGTGCTGGAGACTGAGCCCGGGACTTCTGCAAGAGCGGCATTCGCTCTTAACAGCTGAATCATCTCTCCAGCTCCTAAAATTCATTTTTAAAATAATATAAATACGGTGTTAGGCTGTAGCTGGAGTGCCACAAGTTGGACCCGCTTGAGTTATACAAAGAATTATTTAAATGATATTAATAACTGCTTATTTAAAGGATGAAAGTGGCTTGAATTATCAGCTAATGATTGAAGTCCTTCTTTAAGTGCATTTAATTTGGACACAGGCAGAATTAGGAAGTTTGGAGGGGGCAAAAGCTCTAAGACACTGTCTGGTTAACTCCCACATCCTAAGATCTTACCCTCCACATCTACCCCACAGAAGAAATAGCCATGGCCGGAGACCAATGCCCTGGACTGTTACACCATATTTTTCTATACAGGTTTCAGAAATTAAGAACCGTATAAGCTAGCTTTCTATATTTACAAGGAAAAACAAGGTGAATATCCTTCGCGAAACTTCCACTTGCAAGTGCCATGTACTGCCTTAATTAAAGACAACTGGTAGAAGTGAAAGGTACAGTCGGGGCAACAGGAAGCCTCGCGTCAGCACTTAAGTGAGGTCAGAGTCTAACCTTAATGAAATAATTGACTCCAGCGACGACTTGAGTTTTGTACTCGACGGCTTCAAATTTTTCATATTTCTCATTGGTTTTCTCTTCAAGCTGTGCTCTGACCTTATGAAGAGAAAGGAAGAAAAGACGTTAGAGCTGTGTTGACTGCTTACATGAGCTACAAATCTGGGAACCTCATACTACTGAGAGTCCTCAGAGATGCTAAGGAAGCCTGGCAGGGTGGCTCGAGCCTATAGTCCTGGGACTTGAAAGATGGAGGCAGGAGCGTCCAGTTCAAGAGCAGTTTGGGCTACATAGAAAGTTCCAGGCTAGTTGGGGATATAGATTGAGACCCTGCCTCAAAAATCAAAATAAAACAATAAACTAAATGAAAAATGATGCAATCTTTTTTTTTCCATAGAAAACACTTTAAGAACATTACAGTATGCATGAGGCTGAATGAATATCAAATCAGTGTGGTATTACAAAACAGTCACAATTTAGGACCTCCAAATAGCTTAGCAGGCAATGCCACTTGTCACCGAGAAAGCATGACAACCTGGATTCCATCTCTGGCACTCACATGGTGGAAGGAGAGAATGGTCTCCTGCAAGTTGTCCTGTGATGATCTACACACACACACACACACACACACACACACACACACACACACGTACATACACACACACACAAACACACACCACACACACACACACACACACAAATACACACCACACACACACACACACACACAAACACACACCACACACACACACACAAACACACACCACACATACACACACCACACACACCACACATACACACACCACACACACACACACACATACACACACACACACACAGCAAAAACCAATATAGTCACAATTTGCAATAAAGAGCTCCAATAGTGACATCTATATTTGATTAGTAATTAAAAACAGGACAGCAGCAATTACTACTTAGCGTTTTAAACTGATTGCCCAATTAATGGTGAAAATAATGAATTGATTTGAAGCAGTTGTAGTTTCCCCTGATGTTTCTGTCTTCACACCCACACCCATTCTAGAATCATCCAAGCCAGAACATTACAATGGAGTATTATTATTAAGGAATCTATAGATGTTTTCATCTGTCTCTCAAATGTCCCCTCTCCTCCAGGATCCGGCACTGCACTGGACATCATGTCTTCTTAGTCTCTCAGTGGGGTTAACTCTGGTCTGTCTTTGTCATTCCAGCCCTGACTCCGCACTGTCAATTTATAGAGTGTCCCTTGATTGGGGTTGGTCTGACCTCTCTTATGCTTGCATTCTATGATCTTTACAGCACACACTGGTGTGCCTGAGTGCATTGATCAGGACCCACAGCTTTCCTTATCGCTGTCACTTGGTTACTTTAAGTCACTGTCCTACCCCTCTGTGATGAAAGGGGAAGCATGCTTGGACCACACAGCAGTTTCTCATCACCAGGAGACTTTTTCTCATTGGGCCTTCATCCCTAACCTCGGCATCCTTCTTGACAACGATCATTACTCTGGCTTTTGCCAAATAACAATTTAAAACATTTTCTCCCATTCCTTATGCATTTGTTGATTAGAATTCTACTGTTAGGAAGGCCTGTTCACTCTCCACTCCCTGTTTATTTAGCCTTTGTTTTTATTACTATGACTTACATATGCTTCTCTTAGTCCACAGGTTGTAAATTCGCCATGACTTACTTTTTTGCTTATATTGTCCTTCACTTGTCTGTTGAGAGCCCCTCAACTTGGTGTCCTTCTGTAGCTAGAGTTTTCCGCCTTGCCCACAGTCAGGACAAATCTTTGTCACCCGCCAGTCCCACAAGATGTAGATGTAACCAACCGTCTTATTAAATAAGAAACACAGAAACAATGTAAAAGAGAAAGCCGAGAAGTCAGAGCTCAGAGCTAAAATCTCACCCTTCCTCCTGCTGTCCCAGCTTCGCGAAAAGAGACCTGATTCCTGTCCGTTCGTATTTTTAAAGTATGTTGTTCTGCCTTCTCATTGGTTGTAAACCCAAACACATGACTGCCTCGTCACTGTCTGAATGTACAGCCCCCTAGGTCTTAAAGGCATATGTCTCCAATGCTGGCTGTATCCCTGAACACACAGAGATCTTATGGGATTAAAGGCGTGTGCCACCACCGCCACACTCTTGCTATGGCTCTAATAGCTCTGACCCTGAACACACAGATATCTATGGGATTAAAGGCGTGTGCCACCACCGCCACACTCTTGCTATGGCTCTAATAGCTCTGACCCCCAGACAACTTTATTTATTAACATACAATCAAATTAATATTTTAGTACAAATCAGAATAATATTTCAATACAATTAGATTACCACCACATCCTTCCCATGAGGCTTCATCGTTTTATGAGTGCTTCTTCCCTCTGTGGCATTACAGCATTTACCAGCCTCTTCTCTGTAATTAACCATTTCTCTGAGGGTGCGCTGGCTCCATTTTTGGAGACTGGCTAAGATCAGGGCAGTGTGCACACTCACTGTTTTACAATTCCATTGTTTCTGTGCATACTCAGTGGAAAGCTACACATTGTATGTAGGCATACTAATATAAATATGTGTATCTATCAGTTCATCTGTGTATATGTGTATATGGGGTGCATGTATACATTCATGTGCATAATTATATATGTAGTGTGCACATACAGTTGTGTATGGCAGCTACAGTTGTCCCTTGGTATTGGTAGGGGATTGGTTCTGGGATCCCCTGTAGATACCAAGATGCTCAGGCCTCTTATGTTAAAATACCATGGAATTTACATGCACACATTCTCACATGCCTTAACTCATCTCTGGACAACTTACACCAACTAATACAACAAAACACGTAGTAAACAGCTGTTACTATATGTCGCTTAGGAAATAACGACAACTGTCCTGGAAATCGCTGTGTAGAGCAGGCTGGCTTCAAACTCAGAGATCCACCTGCCTCTGCTTCACAAGTGCTAGGACTAAAGGTGTATACCACCCCCCACGCCCACCCCTTGGCAGTAACTCCTTTCTCAATCGCTGAGGATGAAGCCTGGCTTGCATTCACAATCTATTTACTTGCTTAATCAGTTCTAACATACACGTAAAACAGCTTTAGATTTCCTCATCTAACCCCCTTCCAAAAAAACACATTTACAAATCAGAATATAGGATTTTCCTGTGGTTTTTATAAAGATCCTGTGAGTGCTTTGGGCACATCATCTTCCTGTTTCTGTCTGATCACATCTGCAAAATTGTGTTGCCTTGTGAGACAGCACATTCCCAGGTCCCAGGCATTCAATGCAGATTGTGTTAGAGCCGTCAGTCCGTCTGTGGCAGGGGACGGAACTTAGCTGCCAGCGTTGCTGAGAGGAGTTAGCCTCACATTCATTGTGTAAACATTGACCGAGTGTTCTGAACCCATCCTTTCTCAGGGACACAGCTGGACCTGACAGGCTAGAATCTGCTGTGATCACCCGGGCTCGGTTTCTGCTAATAGCCAAGCTCCAGGTTTCCACTAGGACAGAGAAAGGGCGATAGCTCATGTCTCAGGGTGGAGGATGATAAGGGGAAGGACCCAGCGATGGTCTAGCTGTTGGTCATACAGACCCATCAGTACCCCCCCACACACACACACCTCCACACCCCGATCTCTTGACTGAGTCCTGCCCTTAACTTTCCTGGGGTTGCCAGTGCCAGCCATCAGCAGTCTAATACAGCTCTGCAGTATGAATCTCCTGCTCAGGCTCAGGCTTACCCTTCACGACTTAGCTTCATCTAGATGACTCAGTTTCCATCTTCTCACTTCTATCCATGTCCTTCAGGCAGTGTCCACTGACTTCCTGTTACCTTTCTGATAGGTGTTCCCCACAATCATTCCTGCCCCTAGGAGAGAAACTAACTCTGTCTTCAATGTATCTTCTCCATTGAGAAGTTGGCTCCCTGCCCTCTGGTGAAGCATTTAAGCACACCTCCCTTCAGTCAGACCCCCTGAATCCTTCCCCTCGGTGGGTTCATGTTTTCAATCTTTCTCTGCTGGTGCCTAAGTTGACTGTTAGAACTATTTTCAAAGGTGTCTGCAGACTGAATCCTCAGATTATTTTTGAAGTCCTAACACGCACCACCCATTTTCTCCCAAAGCCTTCAGGCTAGGTGGCTTGAGAATAACTGCTTTGTTGAGCGTCAAGTGGAGAAAAGAAGACAAACAGTGAGGGGAAAGATTGGACTGTCAAGAAGCAGGGTGCAAGAGAGGAGCTGCGCACAGCTGTGTGGAGAGAGAGGCCGAGTGAGGAGAAACATCTTGGGTTCTCTGCGTCCTGAAGCCTTGGAGGGTTCAGAGGAAGGGCCCCGGCACTGGGTACCCACTGAGTTAGAAAGGCCTAATCTCTACACTAATCCCCAAACTGACTTATTTAACCTAACAGTTCACAAGTAAGGAACTGGAGATGAGGATTAAAAATCATTCATCATTGTCTTAGCAATTCTAAAGCCCTTTTTTACTAGCAAGTATCTGAGCTATGATCCTTCTGGCTTTCAGTCTTGGCTATTTTTTATTTTGTTTTATTTTTCACTTGAATTGTGTGCCTGTATGTGGGCATGTGCGCATGGGAGGGTAGGTACCCATGGAGTCCAGAAGAGGGTGTCAGATCTCCTGCAGCTGGAGTTGCAGGCAGTCTTGAGCTGTCTGACGCGGCTCCTGGGAACTGAACTTGGGTCCTCTGCAGTTCGCACTCTTAACCGCCAAGCCATCTTTTTAGCCCCCGTCTTGATTTATTTATTTTTTTTTAAGATACGTTGTAAGGGCTTATTTTTGTCTCTCCTATTGATGGATCCAAACTGCATTTTCTTCATTGTCCTTGTGTAAATCACAGTCCCGGAATTTTCCCTGAGAGAACTGATTTCCAACGCTCTGGTTTGTTTCTCACCAGCACTGGTGCCCGCCTGCTGTCTGGCTCACTGTGGAAGGGGCAGCCTCCACGCCCTTTGTAGTGACACTGATTTGTGTCCTTTAATGTGGGATGCTATGGACCTGGGTGCTGATGGGGAGTTGGGAGGTAGGGGAAGATGCAGGTGGAGAGATTGTTAGTGAAACTTTAGGATTCAGAAAGCAGTTT